TGTGAACAAAGCCAGCCAGCAAAACACTCCTTAGACAAACTTCTTTCTCCTCATACTCCCACCATTCCCAGTTTCTGAACTTAACCCAGAATTACACAAAATCTGCCTTTCCTGCACATGCTCTCACTTGGTTACTGTGACAACAGCCTGATTTTGGCATCATTCAAATCTTCATATAAAAGGACACACAAGCAGGTAACAGCACCTCCCATTTTTTTTGATGATGAAGAGACTCTTGTTCAGCCTGGAGAAGAGAAGGCTCTGGGGAGACCTTAGAGCAGCTTTCAATCCCTAAAAGGGGCCTACAGAAAATTTGGAGAGTGGCTTTCTAAAGGGCCTGTAGTGACAGGACAAGGAGGAATCAGAGAGAAGATTTAGATTTGACATTAGGAAGAAGTTCTTCCCTGTGAGGGTGGTGAGGCACTGGCACAGGTTGCCCAGAGAAGCTGTGGCTGCCCCACCCCTGGCAGTGTTCAGGGCCAGGTTGGACAGGCCTCGGAGCAACCTGGTCTAGTGGAAAGTATCTTTGCCCATGGCAGGGGGTTGGAACTGGATGAGCTTTAAGGTCCCTTCCAACCCAAACCATTTGGTGATTCTAAGGGAGAAAACAAACAATCAGATGAAAAAACCCAAACCAAACCAAAAACAAACAACAAGAAAAAAAAAAACAAACCCAACCCCCCAAAAGACCAGCAAACCCCCACATCCCTCTTTTTGCATAGACCTTTTAATACTGCCCAGGACAGTTAAACTGCCAGTGCACTGCTAAGAGAAAGGCTGAATGCAGTCTTTTTTGGTACGCTTGTTAATGAAATGCCAAACATTCTTTTCTCCTCGCATCACAAGACAGCTTTCTTCTCAGTTGCTCACTCTGAGGTCATTAGAATGTTTATAAAGTATGAGTAACTTATCCACAGGTGTCATCTAAATGAAAGCCTAGGAGCAAGTGGTGTTAATTTGATTGCCATCCCAGCCATCCTAATATTTAGAATGACCTGAAACAAGTACACAAGAGGCTCTACACAATCTCCTTTTTTGCTAAAGAACCAAGGTGGCCAGGAAGTATGCTCCGAGTACTCTCTTCAAAAAAGGGAACACATCTCTAGACAACTGTCACTCTAACCAAGACAAATAGAACCTACAACGTTACTCCAAAGGTATGGATGAAATACAAGAAAACCAATGGATTCTTGAAGAAACAAAAAAAAAGGTAGGAGTAGAAAGCCAGAAGAGAAAAATCGACTGAATAGCACAGAGACAATAAGAAGAAAATTAATCCTGAGTATGTTGAAGAATGGTATGAGTAGGTGAAAAGGACTGGGAAAAAAATGTTCATAGAAGTGCAGGTATAAATTGGATGATAAATGAATTCAGAGAAAAAAAGTTTAAAACCCACACAGTTATACAGAAAATCCAAATATATTTAGCTGTATTATGCTACTGCATCTAAAACCCATGAGAGTTTATCTGCATAGCCATATACTAACAATGCACTGCAATTCCTCCAAAATAATGTGATCGCTTGGTTTTATGAAGAAGATTTAAAGTAAAATAAAACTTGTTCCAGCCTCTAAGCACATAAGACAACATGCTGCCTAAAAATGCATTAGTGCATTCCTAAAAATGCTTCTAGAACTGTCAATGGCAAAAAAAGTACACAAAGGACATTTGCAATGTGGACAGTTAGGCTTATAATGAATTTAATAATATTTATACTACAGTACTGTAATATTTTTATTTTTTGTTTCAAGCCCAATCTTCCTTTTTCTTTCTACATAACAGTGTATAATAAAAAGGTTTGAGAAGACCCCTGCCACTAATCCATACATTTATGAATAGAAAACTTACAATCTGTTGTCTTCTTTCAAAAAGTAGGTCTGACATATTCAGGATGCTTCCTTGCCTCTCTCTCTTCTCCCTATAGCCTAAAGATGCATCTTCCTTTAACGTACCAGTTCTACACTAAATACTGCAGATAAATGAAACATAAATACATAATAATTACGGGACACACAAGTCTGGTGAGAACTGCTGAAAAGGTATGATCCCGTAGGTAGGACTTTGGCAGCTCTGAGAACACCCACAGGGAAATGCACTGTATCAATACACTTGAAGCATATCATACTAAATGACCCTATTTTATGCAGGTTCACCAGTGCATTCTCTTTCAAACACATCTGCATTTCTTTTTTATATTTAAAACGTATCACCACAAACAAATTAATATTGCAAAGGTTGATTATAATAAAGAATCATAACAAAAAAAGGTGCATTTTAGCATTTTTTATTTTAGTTTTGGCTACTGGCAGTACATAAAACAGAATATAACAATTTTTGTATCAAGAGCAAGTAATTTTTGCTACTAACTATAAAGCTCTGCAAATTCAAAAGTATTTTGACTCCTAAAATAAAAACCGTTACAATGCTGTAACAGAAGAAGAATTGTGGCTACTTCAGCAAGCCGCTGAACAACAGCTATCTTTTGTCTCCAAGTATTTCTTCTACCAGTAGTTGAGTTTGTCTGAAACAGAATCTGAGAAAGGCAGTCTCGCTTTTCATGTCTTACCATGAAACCATTAATTACAAGACCACCACAAGAAAGTGAAGGGGAAGCAGACCTTCAGAGACATCAGGCACACTATGAATGATTGCCCCAAAGACTTGGGAAGAAGAAACTATTGGCTGTCTTAAGTATTTCACTTAAAACAGCAAGTGACATAAACTTGTCTTTTCTTATTAAAAACCAAACCAAAACATAGGAAAATACTTCTCCTGCTAGATTTTGTAGATCAAAAATTATCTGCCTAAGAATCAAAACAGAATACCCTGATCAGGTATTTTAATAGAAACATGATATTTCAAAGAATAAGACACTGCTTAAAATAATTCCACAGGTAGTGACCCAACAGCACTAAATGCATGGACAATCTGCTTTTGTTCCCATGCTAGAAAATACAGGAAAAAACCATCAAACCAACATACAGAGAGAGAGAGAGCCACACACGCAACCAGTCTCCCTTTGCATGCATTTTTGATTTCAGAGTTTTTCTTCAAGTATGGGTTCATAGTACTATTGCAGCTTACCAGACCCTACCAAGCTTATAGGTGAAAATGCGGGATGTCCCAGAGCTGGCAAAGCAGACAGCATCTGAAGCATACTGTGTGCAAAACATTTAACAGAGAAAGACCAGACAAACAGCTTAAAACTGGATAAATGCTGCATTATCAGGGAAAAATAAAAACAACAACAAACAAACCAAAACCCCAAAAAACCAAAACAGATTTGTGGCAACGAAGCACAGCATGGCACTTCACAAAGTACTCAATGACTTAAGTGTATAGTAACTTCGTTTTGGAAACTTACGACAACTGATTCACAAAATTCATCAAAATATGTAGAACTATATCAGGTGTTGTGGAGTGTTTTCTGACAATACTATCACATTACTTTGTTTCTACACTTTCTTTTGAAAAAGCAAGACAAACTTAGAAGTGCATGTTTTTCCATCTAAGTTTTATATGTAAGTATATGAAAAACAGGACTTAACTCTTCTGAGCACCTCAACATAGAAATAAGGTTCTCATTTTCACTTTTGTTGAGGTTAAGGAAGGTCAGATGAGTTGTACAAAACTTTGGCAGTAACTGCTTTTGAGAAGAAAACTGGAGCTCCCTAGCAAAGGCTACAATGCAGGATTTTACTTCACATTTTTATAAAGATCAAATATAAATCAACTCTCTAACAGTAGTTTCAGACAGGTAAACATTTCAGTTGCTTTGCAGGTTTGTATTTAATCAAGCCATGGAAATAGGGCTGGATTCGCACGTTAGCTGTACAAATACTATTCTTTTTTTCAAAGAAACGTTAAAAAAAAACCCCTAAACCTATCAAAGTCATAGCTGCACCTGAGCTTAAAGAAGAGAAAAGTTGCAATTCCAGCTGTTTGTTAGCTGTTCAGATAGCAATGTTTTATAACAGATCAGATTAGGAAATCTGATTGCTGGCTTTATCAGAAGTAATAAAAACCAACTATGGTATATTACTGCTTACCGTCCCAGCTGCCACCTATGGAGCTGGTACACTACAGCTGTTCTTATGTAATGCAAATGCAATACCAGACATGATATGTAGTTCAAGTCCAGCCATTCTAAAAACCAGTCTCCTTTACTGTCAGTGTTAAGGAAAGTGACCTTGGCATTAAAAAAAAAAAAGAGAAGTATAACTTATCAGAGTCACTTCTGAAGTAATCCATCCTGCTGACTCAATCTTGGAGCAAGACCTTAAAATACAGTTTGCATTGATCCTGTCAGGCACAGATCACTTCAAAAACAAGAGGAGTGTGCTACCATATATATTTCATACTACAATCAACAGTTTCCAATGTCCTAAAAATTGTATGAAAATACTCATTAGGAATTCTAGAATCTCTTATGTGTTTGGATATAGGAAGCACCCATGAAAATAACTCTTTGGGGTTTAACTCATTTAACAACATTGGCATTATTCAAGTTCCTTTGGCTACAGTAAAGCCAGAAAATAGCAGGACTGATTTGTGCTGGCCTACAAGAAACTCTTAAAAATTCTCTGCAAAAAGAGTTTAGGCAAACAATATAGAATAAAGAATATATGTCCCACAAGGTTAAATCATGCTTATATAAAATACAGTGTGCCTCTTAAAGAGACATTTCTCTTATTTCTTTTCTTAAGACAAAACGCATGCTTGAATTAATCTGATACTTGCAGAGGCCAATGAAAACATCTGCAGTGAGCAGAGACAAAGAAAGGGCTGATGGACTCACGGCATGGACTTACACACCCGCAAACACAGCAAAAAATACAAAGTTAACCTTGCAGGGATCTTTAGTGAGGTAACACTGACAGCTGCTTATTCTACATGTAATACAACATTTTTCTACATATTTCTATATGTAATACAAAGTTAAGAGCAGGGAGCCAGTAAGTCATACAAAAAAATATCATCTAATACCTTATCAGGCTGGAAAAGTTTCAATGTCTATTTCTTATCCCTCATACAATGGGAAATTGAAAATCAGCTCAATATAAGAATTACTAAACAAAACCAAAGTCAAATGTGCATAATATATAAAATACTGACTACATGTTATGAAATATGCATCACAAGTTACCACAATGCATTTCCACATTAAACTTTAAAGCAAACTCCAAGTCACATGTTGAACAAAAGGCATCCTTTCTGGTATAACACCACCGTAATTCAACTTCAGAAGGTCTCCGTTAAGTCAAGGTATAATCTAAAATCAAGACAGAAAATACAATTGAAGATCAGCTATCTTCTTACAGTTAGACACCTGAAAGAACAGCATGCATTTTAAAAACCACAATGAAACAATGACTTCATAATGAGTTTGAGAATCACCCGCTCACCCAATTCCAAAGATTCCCTCCATGATTCTTGCCAGCATATATTGTACTGGCTTTCTGGAAAATTTGGATATACAGACACACATATACACACAACCACACTAATGTTTAGCTCAGTTCCAAACCATTTTACTTCACAAACAGCAGTTAAACCTTAAAAATTAAGACTGAAACCTACAGAAACCCACCTTGTGAACATTTTTCCAAAACTTCTTAATACCAACCATAGCAATGAGCAGTTAAAGGAAAAACCCTTTAAGTGACTATTTAAACATCTTACTATTTATACATGGTGCTCATGAACTGCGCTGTTATCTCCGTCTCCACTTTGCATCTGCAGCTGCATCTGGGCCTTCATTCTTGCAATCATCTCCTGCATACGACGAAGCTGGAAAAGTAGCACAGAAGAATCCTGTGGCCTAGTCTCACCTCAGAATATGATTCTTTGCTGCCACCACATTATTAATTATTTATATTAAAGAGAGGACACATCTACATTATCTTTATCTGTTAGGTAACAGTCTCAGGTTCTGGTGTCTTCTACTGCTCTTTTCATCCTTCAGAAGGTTGGAAGTTTACTGACTGAAATAAGCAGGCTTCATTACTCTAAACTGGGATGAGATTTTTGAGCATCCATAAATGGGAGTCTCCGCTTCCTCTGAAGTTAAATGAATAAAAATGATGGTGCTGAAGTGCTGAACACTTGTTACTAAAGCTTATCACCAGAAGAAAGGCAGCTTATGTATGTCCCTCCAAACTACACCTGGATCTGTCATTAAAAAAACTGTCAGGATCGCTTCCCAATTCCCTTGCTAGTGAGGACTAGGTGGAATCACATATTACAAGCAAACTATCCAAGGAGACATAAATGTAATTAGAAATGGGTGAAGCTCAATTTTAGAGCATTGCAACATTGCCAATTATGTAACTCAGCTACTAAGATTAAATTAGCTGTGTTGCATGTACAATAGTCAAATTCGTTTAATGTACCCAACTTTGACAGGTAGAAGTGAACCTCACTACTGAAGTATTTTTGTGTGGTTTTGCCTTTGTGCACCTATGCTGTAAACCCAAACTAAACTTTTAAGCTTAACAGTGAAAAGTTAAACCTATGAGTTCTCAGCATGGACCTGCTCAAGCGAGTCCAGAGGAGGCCACAAAGATGCTCTGAGACCTGGAGCACATCTGCTACGGAGACAGGCTGAGACAGCTGGGCTTTTTCGGCCTGAAGGCTCTGGGGAGATCTTAGAGTAGCCTTTCAATACCCCTTTAAAGTGGGGCTTATAAGAAAGATGGGGACAGGCCCTATTCTTTTTATTAGGATCTGTAGCAAAAGGAGAAGGGGTAATAATTTTAAACTAAAAGAGGGTCGATTCAGACTCTACATAAGAAATTCTTTTACAATGAGGGTGGTGAAACACTGAACCAGGTTGTTCAAAGAGGTGGTACATGCCCTGTCCTTGGAAACATTCAAGGTCAGTTTGGATGGGGCTTTCAGCAACCTGATCTCCTTGAAGATGTCCCTGTTTAATGCAGCACGGGGGTTGGAACTGGATGGGCTTTAAAGGTCCCATTCAGCCCAAAGCATTCCATGATTCTAAGAAATAGTTACATTTTTTATATTCCTTGAAAAAACAACCCTTTTCATTTTTACTTCTGGGACTTGCATAGCCATTAAGACCACTAATAGAAGACTGAACATCTGCTTGTTCTAGGGCAGACCAAATAGTCCATCTAATTCAGCCTTCTCTCCAATTCTGGCTATCAGCAAATGCATGGAAGAGCCCAAAAACCAGATGCACACACTCAGTATTTCCCAAAATACGCTCTCAAACTCTAAAAGTCTGTCATTTCTGAACTTCCTAAACCAAAAAATTCTACCTTTTTGTTTAGTGAGCAGAATCGCGGAGAAACTAAAACTCTACAGTCTCTCAACATTCTTGAGCTTATGAGCATTCTTCTTATGCACAAAATTCCATGCTAATGAGTTCTACAATTTACAGGCTATCTTAAAACTATCCTTCTATTTCAAATCAGCCACCTACCATGCATCCTGCTATCTATGCTTATGTAAGCCCCTTAGTAGATCCTTCCCCTTCCCCTCTGCCATCTACTTCCCAACAAGATCATTAACCTCATCTCCCCTTGTACAAGATGTGTTTCAGATCTCCACTTCAGCCTTTTTTGCCTGCTTTTTGCCATTTTACTATACTTTTTCTAGTCTTGGCTATATCCTTTTTGAGTTAGGGGGACAATGGAAACAGTGTTGGAGCTATGCATTATGAATTTATCATTGTGGAAGAATGAGAACTCCTGTTTCACTCTTTATTCCTAACAATTCCTACCATTGTTTCCTCCTTTGATGCAGAGCTGATCTGACTTCTTCCCAATCTGCAATTGCTAAATTTAGAACCTTTACTCATGTGAGAATGGTTCTCTTTCCCCACATAACATGCACTGATGATCAATACAATGGAATCAGACATTTTACCAGATTACACTTGTTCCAGTAAATCAGTAGTCTGAGATTCCTCCAGACCTCCTCACATTATTTTGTTACTTCACCTTGAATAATTTTGTATTAGCAAGTTCTCTTTTCCTTTTCAAATTACCAATATTTATATACAGACATTTATATATATAATATTTATATCCATATGTAAATGGATATAAATCATTTGACCTAAAGTAGAGGCACAAGAACAAAAATTCCCCCATCACAAGAGTACAGAGTTCTGTCATCTTACTTCAGCTTCTTTTTCGAGCAGAATCTGGTCTTTATTTACTTCTTCATCTTCTATTTTCCTAAAAAAGATGAATATTCTTCAGTAACATACATACATTCTAGATTTTCTGCTTCCACAGAAGGCTTTTTTGACAACAATTGAGGCTGATAAGACACATGTCAGATTTTCATAATACAAACAAAATTCACTAAAACATGTTCCCCGCATAGCTGAAATTCATGGTTTTAAACTCTTTTTAACACATCAGTTTATTCTTTACTCCTTCATAAAGTTATACCCAGAACAAATATAAACTTCAAAACTCATTCTAGCTATTACTAAAATATGACAGATTTTTGCATGAAGGTATCAGTAAAAACTCTTTCTGAAGAGTATTCAAGTATAGCAGTTTACTCAAACTTAACATTATCCAAACTGATTGCAATTTGAATGCCGCACAGATAGAACAAACTCAAAACTCCTTCAAAGATTTATTCTTCCCTTATTTAATTCTTCCCTTTCATGGGTGAAATAAATCAATACAACTAAATGAAAATCTAAGTTCAAGGTAATGCTGGACAAATATAACAAAATATGGAAGCAACAAGTAACAAGTACTCTAAGAAACTCTGTATCTGTAAACTTGACTACCACCAGGCAGAACCTTCCTGCCATGCAATTCTATCCCATCTCTAACTTCATGAACCGTGTTTGCTACCAAACATCTAAAGAACCATAACCAAAACCATAAAACTAACATGACTATTGTACATGTCTGGAATCCTTCCAATTAGAGGAACTCTCTATCCTCTGCTCCACTTAAGACTTTGATTATTTTTCTAGTATAGTCACTTTCATATTTTTCTTTTTTGCAAAGCCAAAAGACTTGGTGTATGTAACGTGTTGCAGTATAATACAAACACTTACTATTCCAGTTAAAATAAAGCAAATGCTTTCAATCAGTACCTCAGCAAACTCCTGCTTAATTGGGACGTTCCAGTTTTACATTGAGAAACAAAACATTTTATGTACTGTATTTTCAAGGTTTCCTACCACTTTGCTAACAGATTTCTCCTATCACATGTTGCAATGGGGAAGATCTGCTGACCTATCTAATCACACAAGTGCCATCAAAAGCACAAAGTGAACAACCTGATGCGTATCAGAAGCCTCCAAGAAGGCTGTGTTCACATTAGTGAATACAGCCAACAAGCACTAACTGCCAAGAACTGCCAGTGGGGTTTGAAATCAATTCACATGCAAACTACCCTAACTTATAGTAAACTTAACTACATTCTAGCACCATTTCAGAAATGTTAAAACAAAGATATATGGGCCACTTAACCAGACAAGATACAAACCCATGTTTTAATTTCACAAGGAAAGATAGCCCAGCTCAATATCAAGTTGTCCCAAGTCCTTGGCAGAGGTAACTTTAAATCCTCTAAAAATTGGTAAATGTTTGTCCTGGGTTCAGCTGTAACAGTTATTTTTTTCCTTCCTAGTAGCTGGTGCAGTGATTTGTTTTGGTTTTACTCTGGGAACAACACTGATAACACACCAATGTTTTAATTGTTGCTAAGTAATGCCTACTCTGATCAAGGACTTCCCCACTCTCGTGCTCCACCAGTGAGGAGGGACTCAAGAAGCTGGGAGGAAGCAGAGACAGGACACCTGACCCAAACTAGCCAAAGGGGTATTCCATACCACAGCACGTCATCCCCAGTACATATATTGGGGGGCAGTCACCCAGAAGGCCCAGATCACTGCTTGGGTTGGCTGTCTGTTGGTGGCTGGTGAGCACTTGTATTGTGCATCACTTGTGCTTATTGGTTTTTTTTTCCCCTTCCCTTTTTAGTTTTATATTCTCTCCCCTTGTAAAAACAACCATGGCAAGGGAAATAACTACTAGTAGTAGTTTTGTATTATATTTTCGTTACTGAACTTTTCTTATCTCAGCCTGTGGGGTTTATATTCTTTTGATTCTCCTCCCCATCCCACTGGGAGCTGGGGGGTGAAGAAGGTGGGGAGTGAACAAGTGGCTGCATGGTTCTGAGTTACTGGCTGGGCTTAAAACATGACAAAACCCATGACAACTTTATTTTAACTGTGGTTGACCTCAGGTTATATTACTTCTGAGATCTTTGTACATACCTGTTCAAAAACAGACACCAGAATTTGGCAAAATATTTGTTTGTTTGTTTTTTAGCTTGAACTTCAGAGGAGAGGATTTAAAATGGGGGGAGAAGAGCATGACATCTTGCCTGAAGGGAAAACTGAATTTGTAGGCAAATGCTCCAGGCAGAGACAAATTCCTTTTCCTGAAAACTGACTGGGCATGTGACAAAACCTGTATCAACAGCTTGCTGGAAAAAGCTTTGCAAAATATATCAAACCTACTGAAATGTGAAATTATGAAACCCTCTAGTGGTTGAAATAAGAGACGCAACTAAAAAATCTAAAGGAAACATCCAGTTTTCAACAAGAACTCAAACTCAACTTTACAAACCTTGCTATTTTAGTTTTTAACTAACTAACTAACACCCCATAAAATATATATAGGGTGTTCTGACTGTCTTTCTTACCAGGAAAGCTGTGCCCTGCCCACCACAGCTCAAAATAGGGTGGAAAGCTATTATCCTGTTAGTGCTATGCAAAGAAAACTATGTATGTGTACCATTCTGTGATTCTGTATTTAGTAACTGCAGACGATTTGAGTTTTTCTTCTTAAAGACACAGTCCAAATATTACAGTAGATAATTCTGAAAAAAATCCACCTCAATATCAGCATTAATCTAGCTTGCAGATAAAAAGACAATTATCCTAGACACCTGCCCTACTTACTTAACCTCAAACATTCCAGTCCAACTGTTTCAAGCCTTAAAACAAAGCAAAGCTCTAACTCTACCCTATTAATGCCTCCACTGCCCCATTACATTTATGTAGTACTTCTTCTTACACCCACTGTAAGCTGATCAATTGAGCTTGGTGCTGACTGCCGCTACCAAACTGTCCACCATCTACCAAACTGTAGCAATGAAATGGTAGAAGAGATAGAGAGAGGGACCAAAAAATAAATTCAAAAGAGGAAGAAACAGCATGTAACTGTAAGATAACAACCTGCCGCCTCGTTTGAGCCTCTCAGAGCGGAAGTTCTCATAGTGAAGATCCTGGGTCACCTCCTGAAGATCTTGCATATGGGTGCTGGAAGAATAAAAATCATTAAAAGATAAAATATACCTGTGTCACATCAGCTTGTTTAATGAGCTCTCACATTCAGCACTGTATGGGTCAAAGTGTTTGGCATGCACACCCATCTAACGTGCTGATTTAAAATGTAATTTAATTCCAGTTAGAATTAAACTTGGCTAGGGATGTTAAGGATAACAGGAAGGGATTCTATAGGTACAGCACGCATAAAAGACAGACTAGGGACAACGTGGGCCCTCTCTGGAAGCTAGCAGGAGAACTGTCTACCCTGGATTTGGAAAAGGCTGAGGTTCTTAATGACTTCTTTGCCTCAGTCTTCACTGGAAAATGCTCTGACCACACCACCCAAGTCCTGGAAGGCAGGGGCAGGGACTCTGAGAATGAAGACCTTAGGCCCACTGTAGGAGAAGACCTGGTTTGACACCATCTTAAGAATCTGAATGTGCACAACTCCATGGGACCTGAAGTCCATCTGCGGGTCCTGAAGGAGCTGGCAAATGAAGTTGCTAAGCCACTGGCCATCATATTTGAGAAATCATGGCAGTCAGGTGAAGTTCCCAATGACTGAAAAAAGGGAAATATAACCCCCATTTTCAAGAAGGGGAAAATGGATGACCCAGGGAGCTACAAACCAGTCAGTCTCACCTCTGTGCTTGGCAAAATCTTGGAGCACATTCTCCTGGAAGGCATGCTAAGGCACATGAAAAACAACAAGGTGCTTGGTGACAGCCAGCATGGCTTCACTAAGGGGAAATCCTGCCTGACCAATTTAGTAGCCTTCTATGATGGGGCTATGGAATTGATGGACAGGGGTAGAGCAGCTGACATCATCTACCTGGACTTGTGCAAAGCGTTCAACACTGTCCCACATGACATCCTTGTCTCTAAATTGGAGAGACATCAATATGATGGATGGACCACTCGGTGGATAAAGAACTGGCTGGACGGCCGCATGCAAAGGGTTGTGGTCAATGGCTCAGTGTCCAGCTGGAGACCAGTAACGAGTGGTGTCCCTCAGGGACTGGTCTTGTTCAACATCTTTGTTGGTGACACGGACAGTGGGATTCAGTGCACCCTCAGCAAGTTTGTTGATGACTCCAAGACGCGTGGTCCGGTTGAAATGCTGGAGGGAAGGAATGCCATCCAGAGGGCCCTTAACACACTTGAGAGGTGGGCTGATGCCAACCTTATGAAGTTTAACAATACCAAATGCAAGGTCCTACACCTGGGTCAGAGCAATCCCAGGCACAGCTACAGGTTGGGCAGAGAAGAGATTCAGAGCAGCCCTGCAGAGAAGGAATTGGGGGTGTTGGTCAATGAGAAAATTAACATGAGCTGGCTTCAGTGCGCACTTGCAGCCCAGAAAGCCAACCATACCCTGGGCTGCATCAAAAGAAGCGTGACCAGCAGGTCAAAGGAGGTGATCCTGCCCCTCTACTCTGCTCTTGTGAGACCTCACTTGGAGTATTGTGCACAGTTCTGGTGTCCATAAAAAGGACATGCAGCTGTTGAAACAAGTCCAGAGGAGGGCCACAAGGATGATCAGGGGCTGCAGCACCTCCCATATGAAGACGGGATGAGACAGTCAGGGCTGTTCAGCCTGGAGAAGAGAAGGCTGCGTGGAGACCTCACAGCAGCCTTCCAGTATCTGAAGAGGGCCTATAGGGATGCTGGGGAGGGACTCTTCATTAGGGACTGTAGTGATAGGACAAGGGGTAACGGGTTAAAACTTAAACAGGGAAGTTTAGATTGGATATAAGGAAGTTCTTTACTGTGAGGGTGGAGAGGCACTGGAATGGGTTGCCCAGGGAGGTTGTGAATGCTCCATCCTTTGCTGTGTTCAAGGCCGGGCTGGACAGAGCCTTGAGTGACATGGTTTAGTGTGAGGTGTCCCTGCCCATGGCAGAGGGGGGTGGAACTAGATGATCTTAAGGTCCTTTCCAACCCTAACTATTCCGTGATTCTAATTTAGGTCAAATAGGTGCAATGAAAGACACAGAGAGAGACCACCTCAGACCCTGAGGCAGCACTGGTGTTAGTTGTTCTCCTGGGTGAGGCATTTTATAAAGCAGTGCTAGGCAGGTGAAGCAGAGTAGCAAAGCCTGAAAAAGAATCAACCAGTGGACTTCTGAAGTCTCCTCCTTTTCAGATTGTACGTACATATAGATATATTTAAATAAGAACAAGGAGTGAAGCAACCCATTTTATGTTCCTGGGGATCTGAATAGCAACACAAAGCTCTGTTTGATGAAAGAGTTAGACAAAAGATTATTTTTGCAGAATCACTAATTCAGAATGGAAAGAACCTATTGAACCTATGTGGTCCAATTCCTGCCTAGGCCTCGGCCAGCTAGGTCAAGGCTGCTCATGGCTTTCTCCAGAAAAATTCTGGATTTCTGAGGATTCCACAACCACTCCAAATGCCCAGTACAGTGTTTAGTATCTTCCTAATGACTGTTTTTTAAACTACTATCTAATTGGAATTTTCTCACTTACATTAACATGGTCCTCAGCTTCAGGAAGTCATTATGTTCCGGATTTTCCACTTCAACTACACCCCAGGGGTAAAGTCGACCTCTAACTTTTTTACCTTTGGCTTCAATAAGTTGATTGGAACCCACTACACAAAATGGAATGCTGGCCTGAAAGCAAAAAATGCAAAAATTACTAATAACTAACCTGAACAAACAACTCAAGTTCTGCTCAACAATGCGTATTATGACAATAAGTTCTCAATGCTTTTAAATTTGAAGACACAGAGACACAGTGACTCACTCCAAGTCTCATCACAGGTCACAGAATGTACCTTGTTCTGAGCAGTCTGAAAAGATCCAGTATATTACCCACATCTGTAACTTTATGAAGCTTGTCATACCTTCAGGAGTCTGGTCTGCTCCTTAAAATCTTCATCCTCATCAGATTCAGCATCAGGCAGGTGATAAATCTTGATGCCATGCTCTTCTATTTCATCCAGAATCTGAGATTTATAATGTAAGGAACTGAGATGATATACATGTAAAGCCATAAAATCATAGAACAGTTAGGGTTGGAAAGGACCTTAAGATCATCTAGTTCCAACCCCCCTGGCATGGGCAGGGACACCTCACACTAAACCAATACCACCCAAGGCTCTGTCCAACCTGGCCTTGAACACCACCAAGGATGGAACATTCACAACTTCCCTGGGCAAAAAGTCAATGCTTTCAAATCTTAATGTAAAACTACTTAATTGGCAATACATAGTCTCTTGAGCAATGTGGGCCTATCTTGCTGATCTAAGTCACCTAGGAAGTACTTGGTTTTAAACACGATAATTTCTTCATGATATTCAACAACTACTTGCCACAGACTTTTAGACAAACAATAGTGTTCAAATGAACACTGTCCTTTTTGGACTACACATAAGAAATTTCACTCTTTTAAAATATTTGCAATTGTTTGTTTGGGTTTTTTTTTTATTATAAAGCATTGACTCAGAAGTCATAATTGCTTTGAACAGCCTATAACCCCTTGCTCTAGCAATCATGGAGTCATGGAATCAACCAGGTTGGAAAAGACCTTCAAGATCATCAGGTCAAACCATTCCATAGCGCTGCCAAGGGCATCACTAAACCATGTCACTAAGGGCCTCATCTACAAGGTTTGTGAACACTTCCCGCTAAATTACTATTCAGAAAAGCAGGGGTAGGAGTGTTTCAAAACCTAACTGAGCTACAGACAACACAAACACTTTTTTCTGTCTTCATGACTGCCAAGAATGGCATCTGCAGCTGGAATCCCTTTGCCATAAATCCAAATTTTGCTCTTTAAAAAAATAAAAGATTTCTGCAGAGTTTTATCAAAATACATATATCAAACTGAAGTATGTTTCTCCCATTTTTTGTTGCAAGCTTGGTCAGATAACTGGAATAATTTTCAGAATAATTTGGGGGGGGGGGGGAATCCCAGAAAAAAAACAGAAAAATTTTAAATAGAACACCTAAGACTGGATCAAGTCAAGACAGGAAAAGTGTGCCTTCTGGCAAATCAATTCTAACACTTCTTTCTAAATGTCATACTGTTACTAACTCACAATGGCTTGCTGCGTTTTCCCCCTCCTCAGCAAATAGAGCATCAAGTCCTGCAAGACTGAATGTGTTAAGGGATCTTGTCTATGGAAGAAATATCTGGAATGTATTAAAAGAAGGTGACATAAGGGAGGAAAAACAATCCCCAGATCAGAAAAATCTCTGAAAATCCTATTTTTCAATCATCAGAATACTGAAAATAACACACATGATAGATGCAGATAACTCTGTTTGCTTTTTGTTTGGATTAAACAGGTAAGCGAGGAATGGCCATTAAAAAATGCACTTAAATATTTTTCCAAGGTTTCAAGATTCCCTCTAATGTAATTGGAAATGTAGCCAGTCTGCCATTTCACAGGCAACATTTAGATGAATTTCCCAGATGTCACAGACATAATAGAAGAATTTACAAGATATCAAACTACATATGAAATGATGTTTTCTTGGCTAGGACAGGTAAGGTTGCATGAGAACACCCCTCTCTTCAGCAACTGTGCTGATGTAACCAAAGTACAATATTTTTCTGCAAGCTACAAGAATACTTACCCTTTTCTTTAGTCTTTCTCGCTCTTTCAGTGAAAGAGTATCAGCTTTTGCAATCACTGGTACAATATTTACTTTGTTGTGTATAGCCTTCATGAACTCAACATCCAGAGGCTTAAGGCTAAAATTAAGATGTGGAAAAAGTTTAATTTATTTTTAATCTAGACTACCAATTTATTTTCACACCAGCACAGAACTCTCTTTACACAGAAAGAAATTAACACACCCAGTTAATCCAAAGAGTTATAGTATTTCCTTAAACAATGGCAATCTCATTTGGAAAAATTTAACTCAACAGGCACAAACCAAATTCCCAAAATAAAATAATTTAGAAAATACAATCATACAAACACCTACCCATGACCAAATGGCGAAATGAAATAGAAGCAGCAATGGACCCGGTTATCTATGATGTGTCTTCTGTTCAAACCACTCTCATCATGCAGGTATCGCTCAAACTGCTCATCAATATACGAGATTATAGTCTTGAAACTGGAAAACATACATGGATTTGAGAAATCAGGATCATTCCCAAATAATCATTTCAGTGGTATTTCAAAGGTAATATTAAACCAAACACCTGCTGCTGCTGAACCAACCTGCTGCTGGACAAAAACTCATTTAGAGATGCTGTAAAACTGCAGGAGTAGAAAAGCATATGTCTTAAAATGTTGATAGAATTTTATAATAACTACTCTGCATATTTATATATACGTAAGATAAAATATACGTATATATAACACACAACTTCCATAGTAAACTTCTCATGGGTTTAGATGTAATTTTAACCAGTATTAATAACACATGCTCAAGATAGTCTAAGCTTCTTGTTCCAAATATATTTAAAATCATAAAATGGTTTGGGTTGCAAGAGACCTTTAAAAATCACCTAGTCCAATCCTGGCACAGACAGTGGCATCTTTCAGTATGTCAGGTTGTTCAAAACCCCATCCAACCTCACCATGAACACTTCCAATGACAGGGCATTCACAGCTTCTCTGGAAAACCTGTTCCAGTGTCTCACCACAACAACTGTAAAAAACTTTTTCCTTATGAGAATAAGGAGTTGGGGGTGTTGGTCGATGAGAAGTTCACCATGACCTGGCAGTGTGTGCTTGCAGCCCAGAAACCAACCATGTCCTGGGCTGCATCAAAAGGAGCGTGGCCAGCAGGTGGAGGGAGGGGATTCTCTCCCTCTACTCTGCTCTCGTGAGACCCACCCCTGCAGTCCTGTGTCCAGCTCTGGGGTCCTCAAAACAAGAGGGGCTTGGAGCTGCTCGAGTGAGTCCAGAGGAGACACAAAGATGCTCCAAGGGCTGGAGCACCTCTGCTATGGAGACAGGCTGAGAGCTGGGCTTGTTCAGCCTGGAGAAGAAAAGGCTCCACAGAGACCTTAGAGCAGCCTCCAGTGCCTAAAGGGGCCTACAGGAAATCTGGAAAGAGACTTTTTACGAGGACCTGTAGGAACAGACCTAGGGGGAATGGCTTTAAATTGACAGAGGGGAGATTTAGATTAGACATTAGGAAAAAATTCTTCCCTGTGAGGATCAAGTCCTTTAGCATGCTCAAGTTCCTCAGGTGGCCTCAAACCTGATCCTCTCATGATAGGGACAGCTTAATTTCATGTCTGTGATTTGAGCTTCAGGGGTTTGAGAGATGTGGGAAGGATTACCTCTCATTTTAAGATTATTTCTCAGTATTTACTGTAATGTAAATTTCTTTAAAAAAAAAAAAAACACAAACAAAAACAAACAAAAACCACAACCCAAACAATCAAACTCAAAGATGACGAAAATGTTCTTAAAAATGAAGCACAGAATCTGAGAACACTCTAATGAACATGGATAAGATCTAAAGGTGGATTTTTACTTGCACTAAATACTAGATGAATTACTTCCTCAAAGTATTGGTTAATTTCTTGTGCCTGGTGGTTCCACTGCTTTCTGACTATAGAAAAAGTCAAGGTCACTGTTCACATAAAACACTTCCAAACTTAAGGAAGTTAATAATGGCAAAAAAGAATTTTGTCACAAAATGTATTTTGAGCTGTGTAGAAGTTATTGATGCCTTATGACATGTATCTGAATTAGCTTGTAACATTGAAATTCAGCATTTCATATAACACACCAAAGAAAGGTAAGATAACAACAGTACAATCACTTTGAACCATTTCTGCAATGGATGTGTTTAAAAGAGCTACGGTTGCCACTGGGGACATCCTACTTTGAGCTGCCTATCATTATTAGTATAGCCGTACTTCAGTTATTTATTCTCACCCTCCTAGGACAAATATGAAATGGATGTCACTGCTTACACATACGTCAGTATATACTCTGTGTACATACCAGTCTCGACAATTGATAGCATCCCCATATCCTGGTGTATCTACAACAGTCAGACGTAGCTTCACACCCCTCTCTTCAATTTCTACTGTTGAGGCTTCAATCTGCACAGTGCGCTCAATCTTCTCTGAAAGACAATGAAGTTGATCTTTCAGAATAGAATTTGTATGACACTGTCATTTTGAGATAAACTCAAAAGACTAATTTGCAGATTTAACTCTATAAAGATTATTCCATATATTATCTCCTAAGACCTGATAACTTAAAGACTCACTATTAAAGGTCTTCAGATTTTGTTAGAAGATACAGGAGATTTCATACTGGTTTTAAATATAACAGAAACTAATGCAAAAGGGACTGAGAAAAAAAATAAACCAGTAGGTAATCAGCAATCTGGAGAACAATACTAAATTATACATAATGGATCTTTTTTTCCTAAGGTTGAAAGTGATAAGTTATCATCAGCTAACATTGTAAATTATTGAAGCGAGTCATTCAACAGGTAGCGAAGGGGGGGGGGGAAAAATAGCCTCTTCCTCTATTTTCTTACACTATTCTCTTTCACTGGATTATTGTACACCTTGTTTAACAGAATAAAAAAGAGACGGGACTGAAGAAGAAAAGGAGGTGAAGTTCACATCCACTACATATCAACCCAAATCAAAGAATCAAGTTGCAATTCCAAGCGGGCATCAACAATGCATACATTTAGAATTGCAACAGAAAGAAAATTTCAGATTGTTTCTTACTGTGACACCATGACTTTTTTTTCTTTTCCTAAGCAAAAGAAGGGATTAACTTTCCCATATGAATACATCTGAGCACTAAACAAAGACCCCATACACATCCTGGGTACAGAGGGAACCAATTCCATGCAGCATCAGGAAACACATTAGAAATTATTACAGCTAGGAATGACTACCAGTGGTTACTAAAAGCCAGAGATAAAGCCACTGAACTCCAAAAATCATTGACAACAGATAAACTTGAACGAAAGCGTGTTTACCAGCAGCTCCTGGGATTATCCTTTCTGGGTAGAGATCTGTCAAGAAGAGGCTATTTATTAATGTAGATTTCCCCAATCCAGATTCACCTGTGATTCAATATAAAAATAAATTCAACATATTTACATAAATAATTTCAACTATATCCAGACAGTATCATCTAACTATAGATTTTTTCATGTTAAATGTAAATATTTTCATTTAAAAATTTACACCTTATAATTTTGTATTAGAAGGGTTTGCACAAAAAGGTTGAATAACAATTTTTACATCTCAGCTTTATAATACACTTTCTCAGAGCTTTCACTGATGATTTTTAATTAAACCTGTTAGTAGAGTTCTGCTCAATTTAGACTTAAAATTTCCCCATTTCATGTCTCCTGATTTGTTAAGGCTTGCTTTTCTGCTATGACTTCAGGATGTGAAAAATCATACACAAGGGGATGCTGGATCCTGCCTAGGCTATATCATCAATTCACATAACAAAAAAGGCACTTCTGAACTTCTGCACAGCCAGCCCTCAAAAAGTATGACTTATTTCTGATTTTTATGCTAATATGGCAAACAAGGACCCAAGGTAAGTGGCCACTGAGCATACACACAGAGTAATTTTTTCACTGATGAAACTGGGGATTACCACATTGTACCACAAATATATTTTTGTTATAGGGCTACTGACTGAGCCATAAAGAGTTCAAAAGCCACCTAATTAGTTAAAGATCAAGATCTTCATCAGAACAGATGTTCACAGCATAAAAAAGACTGGCAGCTCAAAGTGCTCAGTATTGAATTCACTGAACAAATCCTTTTCCTAGAATTTTATTTCAGGTGTTGATAGAGGTAATTAATATATATATATGTTAAAAATGATGGGCTACATGACCCCTCTGAGTAACTGTACTGGGTTTGTGCAGCAGGGGTTTGGTAGTGGGGGGATGGGGCACTTGGATGGCTTCTGTGAGAAGCTGTTAGAAGTTTCTCCCATGTCTCATAGAGCCAATGCCAGCTGGCTCCAAGTAGGACTCACTACTGACCAAGGCTGAGACCATCAGTCACAGTGGTAGCACCTCTGAGATAACATACTTAAGAGGAAATAATTAGTACACAGGAGCAATTGCAGCTGGAGAGAGAAGTGAAAACATGTGAGAAAGAGCCCAGCAGACACTAAGGTCAGTGAGGAAGGAAGGACAGGAGGTGCTCCAGACACCAGAACAGATTCTCCTGCAGCCCACAGTGCAGACCATGGTGAGGCAGGCTATGCCCCTGCAAGCCCATGGAGGTCCACAGTGGAGCAGGTATACTAACAATGTGTGGGTCACCCTTTTCTTGTGGTTGTCCTAGGTTTCCAGCTCAGCCTCGGACTGGAGATTGTATCTCCAATCTTTGCTTCACAACCTGATGACTCTCTGCCTCCTGCAAGCCCTTTATCTCCTTTGGGACCTGGGTTTCCCGGAAACCCAAGTCCTGGGATGCCTGTGTCACCTGTTGGTAGTTAAATGGCATTTCCATCACTTTGGGGTACCTTTCTCTCTTCTCCTTGACAGAACCACAGCACAATTCAATGCATTTCAAAAGTGCAGACTCAGAGGTATCTCCTGCCACTGCTATCTCAAGAACTGCTGTATTTTCCTGGTTGGCCTGAAACACGGCATGGCTGCAGAGACCTGCAATTCTGGACAAAGCAGTCCAAGTAGGTGAGCTCTTGTCAAAGGAAGCACCACTCTGGTTCTCTGTAGCATCGACCTCATGAATCTGATTGTCAAACCACATGTGTGCAACAGTGTCTGTCACTGGGGTTAGAGTGGCTGCAGTGTCGTTTGTCAGAGTTGGTATAGCTGCTGTGCTTGGGGGTTGAGTATCTGTGTTGGCTATTGCTTTGCTTTGCCAACAGAGCAATAGACACCTTTTTCCAAAGACACTCTGTAGGCACAGGCCAAGTCCCTGCAGCCAATGGAGACCCCACACTGAAGCAGGTTTGCTGGGAGGACTTGTGACTGCACAGGGGACCCACACTGGAACAGCCTGTTCCTGAGGGACTCACCCTGTTGAAAGGGCCCACACTGGAGCAGTTCATGAAGAACTGTAGTCCATGGAAAGGACCCTCATTGGAGAAGCTAATGAAAATCTTTCTCCTGTGGGAGGGACCCCATGCTGGAGCAGGGGAGGAAGGAGTGGCAAACAATGTGTGACCCATTTCCTGTCCCCCTGCACCACTGTGGGAGAGGAAGTAGAGAAAATCACTAGTAAAGTTGAGCCCAAGAAAAAGGGAGGGGTGTGGGGAGGGGAAAGGCATTTTTAAGATCTGGTCTTATTTCCCATTACCCTACTTTGAATTAATTGATAAATTAAACTAATTTCTCCAAGTCAAGTCTGTTTTGCCAACAGTGGTAACTGGAGAGTGATCTCTCCCTGTCCTTATCTTGACCCAAAAGCCTTTATATTTTCTCTCCACTGTCCAGCTGAGGGGTAGTGATAGAACAGCTTCAGTGAGCACCTAGCATGAAGCTAGGGTTAACTCACCACAGTAGCACACTATTCTGCCATAGGAGTCTAACAGATAACTGAGCAAGAGGAAAAAAAAAAAAAAAAGAGATTAAATTATTTTTTAAATAAAGATTTGACTAGGATCTGCCAGTTTTTAATGCTTTATAGAATGCACCTCTCAAGACTGGTGCAGTCTTCTCCAGTGAGAGAGACAAAGTAACAGCCAAATGGCATCATTTCAGCAAAACCCACAAAAGTATGATTTTAACCAGCGGCACGTTCCATACTTCCAGTCTGGGTAAATATTACATGTAAAACAAACCAGTTTTCATAGACACTGTCAAGGATTATACTGGCCACAATAGTTAAGAGTTTAGTGACCCCTAAGAGAAATGACTATTTAGATGAAGTCATAGCTTAATAATGAGAATGAACATGAAATTGTTAAATAAATAAAAGTGGAAGCAATACAGCCAAGCAGCCAAGTTGTTATAAATTCCAGCTCACATTATCACAAACAATAAACAATAGCATAAAAAAATGCTAATAATAAAAAATTTTGATTAAGACTCTGTCAGTGCAGACAGCTTTTAAAGAAACATTCTCCTGCTCAGAAACTAAGAAGCATGGCAACTTAATGAAGAATAACAGTTCAATACAGACATTGTGATATAGCCCATGAGAGCATACTTCAACCCCATGCATACTTCAAGAGAAAGAATTCACATTCCAAACTGTTGAAATAATCAACATTCTACAGCACGGTTTATCTTACGTTGCCTGCCTCCCTCTGCTAGTGTATCTTAAAATATCACTCCTAATTTTCAATGAAACTACATTTTTACAAGTTTTCTTCCTGTAGTTTTCATTTATCCCTTAGAATATTGGCAAATTTTAATAAGACACAGGTGGAGTTAACCGCCTTTCTGTTACTCTGACACCATGTCTTTTACCCCCTATTTTCTATTTTACAAGAGGCTAGGAAAAACTGTTTGCTTTCTACCATTTCACATAGCTTTCTGAAAGAACTTTTTCACTTAGCACTATTTGGAAATTAAGTTTAGCTGCAGCAGAGAAAGCAGATCTTTTGATTCTAGAACTGTCCAGATTTTTAGGACCACTGAACAGTAAATTTTGAAGAGTTATAGTAGATACCGTAATTTGAAACATCTGCTTATAGTTTGGCTTTACACTTAGATTTTATAAGATATCCATTATGATATCCTAAGTAAATGCAATGAAAGATACCATAAAGTTCTAGAAGACAAAAATAAGGCACAGCTCTGTGCAACACTGAACTACAAGAGACAGAAACAGGATAAAAGCAATGCCAGGACTCTCATTTGGCAAAACTAATGAAAGGTTTGAAGACAGACTCTTTCTGTAACTACTGGAATTCAGAACAATTAAGAACTTAAACACCTCCTATCATGTACTGCCTCACCTCTCCTTCTCATTTCCACTGTGATCTCTCTTGGACAAGCATAACACGCAAATGGGATTTACTTCTTATTACACCAGGAAAAAAAGAACCTGATTCTGTTAGAGTATACTTCTTTGCAAAAGCCTATTTTAAAAGGGAGAATTACAGAATTCAAACACCAAAACCCAGAAGCTAGAGCTCTCAAGCACCATGACCAGGAAAGATACAGAAGATGCCCAAGTCTGATTTGGGATCCTATTTCATTTGCAAAAGTTACATTGACTTCTCGAAGGATCAACATATTTCTGCAGACACACTAAATTTTTCTTTCCTTTCTACATACCAACACAGAAACTCAGTGAAATATCAGAGAGAATTAAACTTTGACTTATAACTGCTAAAAGAAAAACAAGATCAATTTAAAAAGTAACAGCTCCCATTAAAACCAACTAATCAAATTCTTATTCTTCTCTTAGAATAGTATTTAGAAGGGGTGGAAAGACCACAGCTCTGACTCTTTGGAACTGCAGAAGCATAAACGTTTTTTAATAGAATAGTCTCCTTAATACTGTTTTCTTAATCAAAACATGCAAACATTTCACTCAAGTGCAAAACCAGTCTTAAACTGTTTTAATTTTAAATTTTAAATAGAATGCTTGAATTCTGTAAGACAGGAGAGAAGGAAGGAAGCAGTGATCACTGGAGTGCACGACAGATTTTTTTCACTTCACCCACAAACTTGTTAGTGTATTCAGTTTGTGATGGGGACAACATGCATTGCATGAATTCATAAACCTATAAAAGAAAGTAAAATGCTACAGTATATAAGAACTTCTTTCTAATGCAAGCTGGAGACTTACAATAGTGGAAGTAACATTAATTCCAAATTCCCTGTGAGGAAGTACTAATTTGGAGAAAGACTATAAAATATTTCCTTACCAACCACCATAAGAGTAAATTCAAACCCCTTTTTCACAGACTTTCGGTGAACTTGATTGGGCAGGTTTGCAAATCCAACATAGCCAGGGGTTTCTGGATTGGTAAACTGAGCAGGCTGTTGCTAAAATAAAAAATAAGACAATAATAAGCAACCACTCATGACATACTTGTTTGTATAACTGCTTTCCTCAGTTATTTCAAATGGCTTTAAGCTACACAACATGCAGAGAGGAAACTACACAAAAAAATACTACTTGGCATTTTCACAATGTAATGCAGAGCAACTGCATTCACCTAGAGTTAAAAAGCTTCATTTATTCAGCTATCCAGCCAAGATCACTTGAAGAAGAAAAAATTCTGAGCATTTATTTACTGAAGTATTAAGTGCATTCACTAATCACACACTTTCTAGACAGTGTCTTCACACATGCTTAAAATAAAAAAGCTTGTGTCCAATGTTTATGGACCTAAATAAAAAGGTGACCATTTCTAATTAGTTTTTAACACATCCAAATAAAAAGCCTAAATGACTACTGAAGTGACAGACATCTGCTGGAAGTTCTCTTTAGAGATCTCTTTTAAAGGGGGGGGGACAGAATTTACACAATAGTGTTTGAAATGCCCACAACTACAAACACTGCAGAGAAATCCTTGGATCTGCTAGTTTCCCTCTTCAGACACATTACCCTGAGTATCTTTTAAATCGAATCACTCCAATAAGCTAACATGGATGTTTTATCTGTCATACCAAGCGCAGGGAGCCAAAAATTAAATGTATCCCAGCGTGTCAATAATACATTAAGTTACCACATTGTTTATGAAGGATTTTACTGTAAGATCAGTTACCATATTAGTAAATGAAGAAATTAAATCTCAGAACATCCTGTTCTTAATGATTCCTGCTCAAAACACAGTAGCAGAATGGAAGTTTCAATGAAAATGCACCAGGGAGCTTGTATGCAACTCCATAACCAAAATTAAAACCTTCCAAGAACATTAGTTAACTGCAGAGGTTTATACTTCTAGAAAACTAATGTATGCTTTACATCATTCAAGTTTTCAATACTATGTGATATAATATTATGTGAATTCTCTCAAATTTATTACCCATCAATTTAGCATACACATCATCATCAAACACAATGCAACTTACACATTCTGCCCTTGTAGATTAACATTTAAAAACATATGCCTGTTTCACATTGTTACACTGGAAGACAGAAATGCTATTCTTACCTTGGACATTTTTATGGAAGGTCAGGAACAAATCTGGAAAAAAGTAATGTTTTCCAGCTTACTAAGAATCGTACAAAAAAAAAAAAAAAACAACCCCAAAACCCCGCAAACAACAACAGAAATCAGAAAACATAACATCCACTGTTGCACATTAAATTAAAAAAGAAGCATTCTTGACTGGCTGTCTAGATTTTGAAACAGTGTCAACTACTCCACAGAGTAACAGTACTTGACTCTTCGGTGCTAGGGCAGAGCACAATTTTCGGCAACCATCACTCCTATTAACAACAATAAATTCAAGCAACATGAATATGGGGTGCTAAAGGCACCAAATATATGACAAACCATTTTGAAGCCTTCAGAGGCAAAGTTCACATCCTTTCCGGAAACTAACCGGACCAAACACTGCTAAAGACATCTCACTATTTACAGGAAACATACCTTTCAAAGCTAAGACACGCCCCCCCCCCCCCAAAAAAAAAAAAAAACTAAACAACTAAGGTCTATTATTCTTTCCTTTTAAGCCTCCTTCCCCTCAGCATTTCCTTTCATGCTTGAGTGTCTGTAAAGAGCTGACAGCTTCAAAATGAAGCATTTTCTCCTCTTCTTTCATCTGGATGTTTGCAAACTCAGTCACTTTAACTTCTGTTACCAAGATAAGATTTTCACATGCAGCTGCATCACAAAGCAGACAGGCAAAAAAAAAAAAAAAACTTAAAAAATCATTTAACACCTCTATGACAAAGACCCATCAACACGCTTGTATCTCATTAACTTACAGGAGTTAAAGAGATCATGTAATTTACTACGGCAATATAAAAATGTCAGCTGGTATCTTCAAGTGATGAGTGCTCCAAGACCCCTTTCTAGAGCCCCCCTTGGCTTGCCCTCTTAGCGAAAACGGTACCTGTTCCCACTCACAAAGCTTATATATCACAGCCACCTCTTATCTATCTAGCTCACTCCCACTTCCATTCTATGGTTTTAAAATGATCACCATCTGATTCTTTCTGTCTTCCAAGCAGATTTGTGTCAGCGAATTTAGCTTCATGTGAAATGCCACTACACTGCTTCAATGCACAGCACCCTCCAGTCTGCCCCTCCCATCAAAAAGCCATCTTCAGGTCAAAGCAAACTGCCCAATGTCAGATGGACAGAAACCCAGCCTCTTTTGTGCTAAGTAGAAGGCAAAGTTGTTTTCAAACTGGCAATGATTTATGGCAGCTATCACATTTCTTCTCAAAGCTACTGTATTTTTTATATATATATATATATGCAAGTGCAAACTAATTCAGGTTTATGAAGATGCAACTTTTTAGCTCACTATGATTACTTCACTGTTAACAGTTACCAAGCTGGTTTCCCTCTCCACTCCCAAGATAAGAGGTCAGTTCTGAGGAAGGCTTTTTGATGGGAGAAACAGACTAAAGGTGCTGAGCACTGAAGCAATTTGCTGTCATCTCACATGAAGCTGAACTCACTAACAAAAATCTGGCATCCTGATTATATACACGGAATAAAAACTGAATAACATACTTATCAAGTGACATTTCATGCTGAAAATCCACTATCTGAAATGTCTGTATTTCAGTCAATAAGCAGCTCTATGAGCAGTGGAGTAAGTCTTCAACTACAGAGGAGGTTATCTGGGAGTCTTTTATCATCATGTAAGATTGCTTTGACAGCAACTCTTCCTTCCAAGAGTGTTTCCTGCTGAGTGATGTCACTGACTCCTACTTAACCATTCTCCATAAGATCTTCAATGCCAAACAAAACTAGATCCTGCTAGAACACAGAAGGACATTCTTTTAATTCACGAGGCTTGTCTGTCGCCCAACTATTTCTTAGAGGCAGGCCAAGAGCAAAGTTTCTCACAGCTACCAAGAAACAGAAGAGAGCTATTTATGCAGATGGCTGCAGTTACATTAGGTTTCAGCATATGGATCAAGCATAGAAATCTTTCACAGAAGATCTTTCCCACAGCATTCCCCTGAGGGGCAGCGGCTGAGTGCTCCCACATAAGCAGGAGCACGCAGTCCAGATTTTCCTCTGGAGCTGGTCCATCATGTTCCCTACCCTCCGGTTTTAACAACCCGGCTGGAGTTTTGGTTTGGGTTTTGGGTTTGGCTTGTTTTCTTCAGGCGAATGTCTTCTGATGCGCTTCATGCAAACGGCCCTGGAGTGAATATTTCAACCATTCTGAAAAGAGCGAACAGCATCTTCGAGGCCCTCCCGTTTCGCGGGTACCTCAGACACCCAGGCGGCAACACCACCCCCTCACCCCACCGCCCCCTCTCCTTCCCCTTCGCTTCGCCGCCCCTTGCCCTCACCGTCTCTCCTCTCACCTCAGCACCCGAACCGCGCCGCGCGCAACCAACGTCCACAACCGCAGCTCCCGCGCGCGCGCGCCGTTGGGGGTAAGTGGGAGGAGCGCGACGGCTCCACCCCGCCCCTCGGGCCACGCCCCAAGGGCTGTGCCGGGACAGGCGCGCATGCGCCCTGCCCGTTCCCATAGCAACCCGCCGGCCAAGGGTACGTGGGGGAGGGATCATCCTTATGTTGGTAGGTCACGCACATCCCTCTTCTTTACCAAGATGGCGGCCGGCCCCTCGGCCTCGTACCCAGCATAGGCTTCGCTGCGGGCCTACTAGAGGTAAAGCCGGTCCCCGCGCCCAGTGGCGCCGACCGCGCGGGAGGGCGGCATAGGGTGGGGAGCGCCTGAGGTAAGTGAGGAGGAGGGCGCGGCCCAGTTGGGCGGTCGAGCGGGTTCTGCTGCCTCCAACAAGATGGCGGCAGCAGAGAGACGGGCTCCCCGGGCAGAACGTCTAGCGAGCGCCCGGCTCCGCTCTATGGTCTCGGCCTTTCCGATTGGCGACGGGTGCGCCACGTGCCGCCGGGCGCCCTCCCCCTCGTACCACGCTTCTCCCCTTCGGGACGGGCGTAGGAGCTGCTCGGAGGGGTCCCTCCGCCGCTCCCTCGGGCAGCGGCTGCTCCGCGCTGCGCCAGGGAGCGAACAAAAAACATGAGTCATGCCCAGCTTCCACCCCTTGCGGCGGCCGTGGGTCAGCCGGCGGTGTTTCCGGGCTGCCCCTGAGGGGGGCCTCCAGCTGTGACACGGATGAGGTCGTCTTCCACAGCCCCGCCGCCGTGTCACCGTGATGGCAGGTCCTGTCCTGGGGTCTGGCCGGCCTCTTGGACTGTTAGAGTTCGAGCTTGAGTGTAATAGTCTCATTTTGCACTGCTGGTGGGTGAGGTTATGGTCATGGGCTGTTCTGGAGAAAGGTTTCTGTCTCACCTGTGACTTTCAATGAAGACAGGCTAAGAGAGCTGGGCTTGTTCAGCCTGCAGAAGAGAATAGTCTGGGGAAACCTTAAAGCAGCTTTCAATATCTGAAGGGGCTGTCAAGAAATCCAGGGAGTGGGAGAGAGGGGACGGACAATGACACTTTTTACAAGGACATGTAGTGACAGGACAAGGGGGATGGCTTTGAGCTCACAGAGGGGAGATTTAGATTAGATATGAGGGAAGAAATTCTTCCCTGTGATGGTGCTGAAGTACTGGCACAGGTTGCCCAGAGAAGCTGCGGCTGCCCCTTCCCTGGCAGTGTTCAAGGCCAGCTTGGATGGGACTTTGAGCAACCTGGTCTAGTGGAAGGTGTTCCTGTCCATGGCAGGGGGTGTGGAACAAGGGGAGCTTCAAGGTCCTTTTCAACCCAAACAATTATTTGATTGTTCAGGCAGAGCCAGCTACCTCTGTGTGATAGAAGGGAAGTTGCTCTTTTTCACTAACTGCTCTCTAGTCCTGCAGTGTGGTTTTATTGCAGGTTATTTATAGAACAGGGTGATCCTGCAGTTAAGCAGAACTGAAGAGGGTTAAGCACAGGATGCTCATGATTCTTGGGCCCAGTTTGGCTGTAGCTGAAGTGGCTTGGCATATGGTAAGTAGTGCTTCTTCTGCTGGCCTTCCCCAAGCAGTAGGAAAGGATTCCCAACTGGCAAGAGCAATTCCTTCCACTGAAACACAAGAAGCAAGAGAGCTGGTTGTACTGGGAGTGTTAGTAATAGCATCAGCAGTTCACTTGTAACTGATGAGAGCCAAGGTCCTTGAATTCACAGCTCCAGTTTGGAATTTGAATTCAAATTTGCAACTCTATGGCTGGGAGAAGAGAAGATTAGAGACGCTGAGTACCAAGGAATTTCATAGAATCATAGACTAGTTCGGGTTGGAAAGGACCTTAAGATCATTTAGTTCCAACCCCCCTGCCATGGGCAGGGACACCACACTAAACCATGTCACCCAAGGCTCTGTCCAGCCTGGCCTTGAACACTACCAGGGATGGAGCATTCACAGCTTCCCTGGGCAACCCATTCCAGTGCCTCACCACCCTCACAGTAAAGAACTTCTTCCTTATATCCAATCTAAACTTCCCCTGTTTAAGTTTTAACCCATTACCCCTTGTCCTATCACTACAGTCCTTAATGAAGAGTCCTTCCCCAGCATCCCTGTAGGTCCCCTTCAGATACTGGAAGGCTGCTGTGAGGTCTCCACGCAGCCTTCTCTTCTCCAGGCTGAACAGCCTCGACTTTCTCATCCCGTCTTCATACGGGAGGTGCTGCAGCCCCTGATCATCCTTGTGGCTCTCCTCTGGACTTGTTTCAACAGTTCCATGTCCTTTTATGTTGAGGAGACCAGAACTGTACATTTTCCTTTTTTTTTTTTTTTTGTTTGTTTTCTTTTTTGTTAAAGAGTCACTTCTTATACTGGTGTGTAATAACAGAGAAAATTCTGCACACTGATATGTGCTGCATTGACTTTTTGCATATTTTCTTTTTTGTAAAGCCAATAAAGCTGTTGCCCAATGATTTGTTCTCACTTTTTCCTACTGTTGCTCTTCAAGTGCAACAAAATTGTTTTCAGTTAGAAGACAGTTTAACAGATATGATAATGGCTGGGTTTTTTTTATTACTGCTCTTCCTCCCCCCACCATTCAACCCAGACTTGAAAGTGGTGTTTCATGTATTGTTCCACAGGGGGATTGGATATTCCTCCCTCTGACAGAGGAGCATGTATCAGAGGCAGGACAGGAATGGAAGCAATAATGTAATGTGTAGTTCTGTGTGTGCTAAAGCTCTGTATCTCCAACCAGTTGCCTGTTCAGATTTCAGCTGTTAGAAAAAACCGTCTTCCTGTTTTTACATGGGCTTTCATGCAGTGTGGCCCAAATCGTAGGTAGGGACACCCACATAGTCAAGCCATAAAAAAACCCTAAGCTTTTACTTCCAGGAAAGTCCACAGTAGTATGTCTTTCACAGATCAGAATGACAGGCACGGGAAACGCACTCACTAGATGTGGAGGTAACAACGTGGAGGTCTGTAAATGTAGGGTAGAAGAGGCAGTGTAACTGTCTAGCCTAAGCTTTGCTACTGTAGCAACATGCAGTAAGTTTAGGTCATTCTCAAGATTTTCTAAGGGGCTTCTAAGAAGCAGTTAGAAAAGATTCCCTTGTGTTTGTCCTATATAGATTGTTCTGGTGTTTCACTCCTGATGGTGACACATACTCCTCCTGTCTCCTCCACTGCAAGATAAGCTGATTTCTTGTTGTCTTCTTTCTCTCCTCTCCCCCCCCAGTTCTCCCTGAAAAGGCGAAAAAAATTATGACACCGTTTCTTATGTATTAAAGGTTATTATGTTCCCTACTTTTTTGTCGGTCCTACTTCTCTAGACTGGGATGATCAGGAAAGGGGTAAACCCTGACCTGGAATTGGAACATAATGTTATCGTTATGTTATGCAGCATGGTGGTAGCAACAGTAACTTATTTTTGGTACAATAGGGGCAGTTAATAGTTCTCAGTCAAGTAGCTCATTTATTTTTTCAGTTCACATTAAGCTGCTTCTGAAGATGTATGATTTGTTAGAAGAGGGATCTGTAATCTTGGATTTCGTAGCTGTTATCAGATTGGAGAGCCATCCCTGACAGGCCAGCCTCTGCAGTTTATACTTTCTCAAACAAAATTGGGATGTTTTATTGGTTGCGGTATTTCAGCTGATACCACCTTTTCCAGATCATACTCTTCCTTTTCATATAGAAGCAAGACACTGTAACAAGAAATATAAGCCTCTTAGTACCCTGTGGATCATGCATAATAACAGCCTCTTCTCTGTAGAGAAGATTCCTTATGGGAATGCTGTTATAATCTTGACAAACCCATGCACTGCTGAAGAAGTTTCAACAGGGGTTTTCAGAGTGGGCTGAGGAATTCATGTTCACCCAGTAAGAAGTCTGACTTGTCCAAGAGCACATTACTGAGAGGCGCAGAGCCTGTAAAACTTTTGCAACATGGGTCTGTGCAAGAGTTCAGTAGGTGGTGTTATATTAAAATATGAAAACAGATAAAGAGGAGGTAGGAAAATAAAACCCAGCTGCAGGATTAGGCTTCTGTTCCTTTTCCTAATTATCCTGACCTTGAAAGAAGAGAGTATGAGGTTGTATTGTGTGGTTTGCTGGTGGTTTTTTTTGTTTGGGGTTTTTGTTTGTTTGTTTGTTTTTGTTTGATTATTGTTATTTTTTTTTTCCTAGGGCTTTGATCCAGAAGCTATTCCAGGGGATTCTGTGTTACCAGGAGGCTTTGGTATTTATGGTGGGTGGGCTGTGATACTGTTTGGAGTAGGAGGTCAGTATGACCTACTGAGGGAGGGATTGTGGAGGAGTGCAAGACACCTGGAGCTGGTCTCCAGACCTCAGGTGCTTCGCTCATAATTATGGCAAGAGTCTGAAATCCTCAGTTTGGGGCTGGTTTCAAGAGCTGGTTTCATTTTAGAAATTCCTAGCTGTAGAAGAATAATTTTGGGTTACAGGCTTATCCTGGATACCTGAGAGAATTCAGCATGTGGCTTTATATTTAGCAGTCCTTTAGCTTTAAAAGAAAGGCTGTTTATGTCAGAAAAATCTGCTATTAAAATATTGTGATTTACTTTACCACGTTAAATGGAAAAGTCCTGCACACCTAATAATTCGAGTGACCTTTTTCCCTGTCTTCCTTCTGTGAACTCATGTTGCCCCATAGCTCTCCTGGTGTGATTTCAGTGAAAGAGAATCATGGAGTCAGGTTGAAAAAAGGTGTATAGAAGACTTCAGGTTACTGGGAGATTATGTGGCTTAAAATTTTGATTCTAACATGCAAAAGTAGTCAGACTGTGATGGATTTTCTGGGTTTATTGTTTTGTGAGATACTTATGTATGTGAAAGCTGAAATGGTTCTGTTTTCCTTCATTTAGGTGATCTTTGGTGTTTCTACCTACACAAGCTCTGGTGTTTTCCCAGTAGCCTCACAGAAATAAGAGCATCCTTTCTAGCAGCTACCATACAGTACAGATGCTGCTTTGAACTTGCTGGTAGACATCACTTGTCCCTCACAACTGGTTCAGTTTTGTTGACTATTGAATCTGATGGATCTTTTAAGGCT